ATAATATAAATATATTCTATATTTACAATATAGAATAGAATAGTAATTCATTTACACTTCTGTCAGGTGGAAAATACTGTACAAGCCAGCTGCATGCTGCAGCTGAAAAAAGAAAAACCCAATGCAATGTGTAGCTAAGTATGAAAACAAACTGGATAGTGCACAAGTTGCAAGGGCAGACATTTTCCCCCAGAGATCCTGTCTTGTTTTGATCTTAGCCTTCACAAGCTTCAAGTCTTTAGGGCTGAAATAGGCAGTATCCCAAGATGGATTGCTTTTGCTCTTTTAAAAAAACTCTTGGCCAAACAAAATACATTGTCCAGAATTTCTCCAAGGTTGAGTAAGTGCAGAAATGAAAGCAGGTGGAGAGGTAGAAGTCAAAACTAATGCCTGAGAAAGAAGTGCAGAGTATGGTAGGGCAAAAGATGAGATTTTGGGGGAAGATTATGACAATGGAGAGAAGTAGAGAAGTGTGAGGAGATGAAGGAAAATAGGAGTGTTAGCACAGATTTTGGAGGCAAGTGCTGGAATGTGTTAGTCATGTAAGAAGAAATTAAAAAAAAAAAGTATGAATATATGGGATGTGGTTCTATACAGAATGTTTTCTTCCTAAATCTGCAGTTCAGCCTTGTAGCTCTGGGTCTGACTGTGGCTTCAGCTGCCCACAGATGGCTTATGAAAGTCACTTTCAAACTGTGTATCTCAGTGCCTACAGGTGTCTCTATGAGATAAAGTAGTGGAATTCTGTGCTGGATCTCTAAAGAGACAAAATAAGTAGATGAGAGAAGCTGAGCAATTAATTTTGTTCCATAGGTTCGAGTGTGTGCCTCTCTGTGTGGTACAATCTTTAATAAGTCACATACTGTTTCCCTTAGCCCCTTAGTTTTAGGACAGTCTGCAGATGGTTCAGCATGGTGTAAGAAAGACTAGTATAGAGTACTTTCCTCTTCATACAAATTAAATGGTACATACGTGAAACCGGCAGGAGATTCCTCAGAGAAAAGGAATGGACTCATGACTAGGAAAATTGGCAATCTTGAGAATGGGATTCTATCCCTGCCTTTACTGATAAGTTCCTATTAAAGGTGGCCAGATTGCTTTGACCGAAATTTTCCATTGGCCACTGAGTACTCATTTTTGGATTTTCTACAGTGGGTCAGATTGGCAGACTGCTCTCCCAGCTGCAGTTTAAAGTCATTGGTCGTGTGCTTTGGACATATAAAATACTGTGCAAATACTAAGTAGTTAAGGAAAATCAGTACTCTCATTTGTTAGATTGGGAACGCAAAATCCATGGAAACTTTTGCCAGTTTTGCCCATTATCTCCATGCCTAACTTTATAATAGAATTATAGGAGGGAAAAAGCCATTTCACCTGCAGTCAATTCTCCTTCTAAAGTCAATTAACATCTGTGAATCATTTAGATAACTGATGAAAGCTCAAACATACTCCAGAGGAATTTATTAATTTCCCTCTTTAGTATAGAGTTGAAGCGTCATACTAAATATTTTATTATTCTTTTATTATAGGAAGTATGAGTCCTGCATAAAAAAAAAAAGTTATGGAATGAAAACCATAATCCAGGGTATTCTTATAATGGAGACAAATTAATTGCCCAGAGAAACTTTCAGTTTTTGAGATGTTGAAATTAAGTGCTTGATTTTGCTATATGGGGAGGATGTTCATTTTTGGGAGAAAAGATGAAGGCTTTTATTGGATAAAATATATTTAGAGAGTGAATTTCCTGTGGTCTAGGGTGATAAAAAATAGTTGACAGGCAGATTCCATGTGTGTGGGGTTCCTGACCAAGAATATCATACCTAAATTTGTTCCTATTAAAATCAATAAAATATCTCAGTTTGCTTGCAGAAATGTTTGTGGTGTGTATTGCAACAAGCATTCAGTATCCACAGTTCAGAACTGCTCCAGGCCAATGGAATTGCAAAATATCTGTCAGCTTTGGCTGACAGCCTAAGGTTGCCACAGCAATCTTTCTCTTTAATGAGTAAAATTGGTGGTGTTTATAGAAAAATAACTGTCTCAAAGCTGTGCAAAAAGTTCCATTCAAAAACATTCTGTTTATATATAGTTTTGTTGTTTGTTTTCTTTTCCTTTTACTTACTACTGTGGACATTTGCATGAAAACAGGATATTTCTCCTGCAAATTGCAGTCATGGACAGAATAGCTACTATGCCAAAATGGAGCCAACCCACTTCAAAAAAAGTAAACTATTTTGTTCACCAAATCTGTTTCTTCTGTGTATGTAAAGTTTTGAGAACTTATTTTCCTACCTAAATTTAGGGCTGGGTTTTTTGGTGTTAGTTCTGTAAAACCAGCAAAACAATATGGATATCATTAAATGAGAATATATTAGTGAGAAGTTTAAATGAGTAAAAAAACTCAGTAATATAAATAACATTTATGTTTTAATATTTACAATGACAGCAAGGGTAAAAATATTTTCGTTACATACACTGACCTTTTTTTTTTTTTTTTTTTTTTTACACAGCTTAGAAACAATAATTAATACTTGAGAGAGAGAGAGGAAGAGCTGAGTCCTGTTTTGGCTGATGGTGATCAATAGAATTAATAAAGGCAGGTTGCTCTTAAGAATGTCTGTGTTCTCTTTGATGGACAAATCTGACTTTTCCAGTCTCAGGCTGAATTTAATATTCTACCAAGTCAAGAGATACACTTTTACTGACAAGTGGCATATTTTTTTCTGGTTCAGCAATGTTTTATAATGCCCTCAAGACAGACTTTAGGGGTCCAAGGCTGAACGACTGTACATTGACACCCATGCTCCTATATGTATTTACATCACTTGACAGCTTAGCCCCTGGCTTCAGGTCTATCTGGGTGCACAGGGAAAGCTCTCAACTGCCCAGATAGCTCTGTGTCATTTATTTCTCTGGCAGGAACAAGTAGGAGAGTGGTTGCGGCATGCTGCCAAATCCTCATCCCCTGTAGCCCTCATTCTAGCAGTAACGAAGGCAGGAGTGTGAATCACTGAGCCTTCCAGCCAAAGGCAGCTCCAGCCGGGGCCATCCCACAGCTGCTCTGCCCCGTAGAGGCTCACTAGCTCTGGGCTAGGGGATCACGGTGGCTTGTGGCTTAAAGCGTGCTTTTTTTGTTACTCCTCCTCTCAGTCTGGGGTGGTTCTCTGAAAACTGGTACCTATCTGTGCAAAATCCACTGGACGAAGCTGTTGTCTGTACTTTTGCAGGATTTATAGTCACCATGCTAATAAGCAAATTAGTCCCTCTCTGGTTGATAAATGAACAGTAGTTTCAAGGGAGGTGAGTGTAGTTCTCTAACTGTAAAGTTTTCCGGAGAGTGAACAGGCTCCTGTTTTTACTATGCAGATCAAGTTTTCCAATGTCATGAGTGCCACTTCTTCCCAACCTACCTGCAAATCTTTCAGACCATCTTTTTTTCCTCAAAATGAGCATTCCACTGATCTTTTCTAATATGGCCAGTCTGCATTTGGTTCTAAAAGCTCAATTAATTGTCTTTTTACCTCTTTTTGATCATATGAATTTGTGATTTGCAAATAAAAATTATAAAAACTCTGTAAAATAAACCTAGAAGTTCTCCCTGCAGATGTAAACTGCTTCTTTTTTTGCTATACCACTTCAGAGTCAGGGTCCATTTGCTTAGGCCAAACACCAATTGAACGTTACTGAACAATGTCAGGACCCAGGCAGTGGAAAGACGTATCAAGGGCGCTCTGGAGAATTTTGTTGTGTTTATTCCTATTTTATAGCTGCTCCATATGTACTTTACATTTGACAGCTTTTTTAGTTGCTTTTAGCTTGGATAGCTAATAGTGCATATTCGCATTGTCCTATTTTCTTGATACTTGTAGTACTTGATGCAGGTTTGCAACCTAATTAAATGTTTGCAAAGTAATTCAGCATAAGTGTACCGGTTAGTTTCCTTGGTTCTTTGGTTCTATTGGCAATATTCAGTTCCCACCTAGTTTGTTCAGTGCTGCTTTGGCAAACTGTTACAGATTTTAGTAGCAGGCAGTTCACAGTAATTATATCATATAATACATTAAGTAAATATACAATAAATGAGCAAATGTAAACCAAACAAGAAACGCAACCCTGGGGACTAACTGGGCCTGAAATTCTTGTGGGTAAGCACAGCAGGTGAGCAAAGGATTATGAGGAATAGGATAAGAATTGCTTAAAGTCTGACTGCCACAAATATGTCAATGGAGCTGAGTAAGCATGGGAAGATTGCAGTAATTTGCTGTTGATTCAGAAACCTGTAGCTCACTGCTACCCTTCTGGGTGATGGGGAGAGCACTTGCTGGAAATGCTGATGAGTAACCTTTGAGAGCTCTGCCGAGTGGCTGCTTCTGCCCCTCTTCAGCCCCTGTCTTGTACTGCTGGTTTCCAGAGGCACTCCACTGGAAACAGTAGCATGGCACAGAGCTGCTGGAATAGCCACCAGCCAGCATCAGCCCAGCAGCCAAAAAATATATATGATACCAGTCATTGTTTTAGAATGTGCAGTTTAAGGATGTTTTTTGCCTTTCTGAATTAAAAAAATGTTGCTTTCACTTCACCTTTGTTTGCATAACAGGTCAATGCGCATAGCAGTTAGATATTGTGTGTGCAAATTAATGTTTAGCAGTATAATTTATATTTTTTTCTGTACAAATTCTTTTATAAAATAATCTTATGTTGTACTATTCCTGTAGCATTTTCCTCCCTAGAAACCAGGCCTTTTCCTGCCTTTCTTCCTCCCATCCTTGTTTATGTTTTTCTGTATAGAAGTGCATTTAGTTATTGTGTTGATGATTACTTTGCTGTTTTCTCTCTTTCTGACCTCCAGTCTTTCTCTGTTTTTGTTGTCAGCTCACGGATGCTACGACTGTAGGGTCGTGCTAACTGATCCTTCTGGAATTTTCACTTCTCCATGCTTCCCCAGTGATTATCCCAACAGCCAAGCGTGCAAGTGGATCATCCGGGCACCTCATGGATACATCATTCAGCTAACATTTATTGATTTTGACATTGAAGAAGCTCCAGGCTGCATTTATGATTCATTGACATTAGATAATGGAGAAAGCCCAATGAACCTTTGTGGCATCACTGCCAAAGGGTTATCCTATAACTCTACTGAAAATGAAATGATCGTGTCATTTAAAAGCGACTTTAGTATTCAAAAGAAAGGTTTTAATGCCAGCTACGTAAGAAGTAAGTAAACCAAAAACATTTCATCCTTCTTATTTCCTTCTAACAGTTACATCCTATAAGAATTAGAATGACACTTTCCACAGGAATCAAGACCTCTGTGAGAAGGGAAAGTGACACAGGAGATGGGGAGGCTGCAGGATAAAACTATAGAGTTCTCTTGTATGGTTTTTTTTATCTAATTTATTTTTCTGTGGATGAAAATATATTATTTTATTCTGAGACAGAACATCAAGTATGTTAGAAAAAACTTTTCACATGCGAAGATTTTAGGCCTAACAGTGCCTCTTCCTGAATAATTACGCTGAAGAGTTTAGAACCAGGACACCTGTCCTTCAGCGAGCGTAACTGCAGAGGGACATAGAAACCTAAAGGAGAGCATGAAAGGGAACTTAGCTGACCAGAAACAAGGCCAGCCCAGACCTCTGGCCCAGTGAGACTCCTCACAGTGAGGAGGAGTTTGTGCAGAAGGCAGAACTTTCTCAGGGATTCTTCCAGCCTCTAGAATAAACTCCAAGAGATGAACTGGCATTGCAAAATGTCTACCTTTGGTTCCAGTTCCTTGACCTTTCTTTTCCTAAGATAGCAGTGCTTATATTTTAAAAATACACCAACTGAAAAAAGGCCTATGCTTTTTTCCCTTGGAGAGGATAAGGGTATAAATAACATTATTGACGTTTGTTTTGTTGTTTAAAGCATTAATTAGAAGTTGCTCTCACATGACAGTAAAGGGCAGCAAGGTAACAGAGGGTATTATGATGATCACTTGCAGACCCCATATGCCACTCTCCATTCATTGCATTTCAAGGTTATAGTTTACAGTTGCATGCTCTTGGTAGGCTTTATTTTGTTGAAATCACACACCTTAGACTGAAAACTAGTATTCTATTAAGCATTTATATTATTGTAGCACACTTATGTTCTGTTGGTTGGCTGGCTGCTGTAGAAACACAGAACAGGGAGGTTTGCAGTTATCTCTTCAGTCATAAACACCATTTCCTCATGATTTTTCTTTTAATATTTGTTACACATATAATAATTTTAAAATAATTAAAATAGTAAACCCCCAGTAGTCTTGATTATGCCAGCAAAATTTATGCATAGTTCTGAAAAGAAAAAAGGTAACATCATATCGGAAAGGCTAAAAATTTTCTGAAAGGCTTCATAGAATCATTAGAAGGAACCTTAAAGATCATCTGGTTCCAACTCTGTTCTCATGGTCAAGGACATCTCACACTAGACCAAGTTGCTCAAAGCACCATCCAACCTGGCCTCGGACACTTTCAGGGAGGGGGCATCCACAACTTCCCTGGGCAACCTGTGCCAATGTCTCACCACCCTCACAGTAACGAATTTCTTTCCAAAGACTAATCTAAATCTACCCTCTCTTAGTTTAAAACCATAACCCCTTGACCTATTGCAACAGGCCCTACTAAAAAGTTTTCATTTTGACCATGGACACCAGGAGAGCTGGCTGCATGCATCTAGGTCAAATTATAACTAAATTCTGCTTATTGCCCACAGTTGTGCAATTACACTGAGTTCGGAAGATAGTTACAGACAACGATCATGGTAACGTTTAACCTGGCAATGCGTACAGAAAAGGAGCTTGGTAATGGGATGACAAAGGACTGCTTTCCTTTTAGATTATTAAAGCATGTAGACAACAGGACATCAACATGCACACACAACTGAAATTAAGACACATCTGCCTAGCAGATGTCAGAGCTACACTCTCCTGTCCTTGCACAGAGTTCCCAAAGCCAGCAGAGAGACTGCACATCCCCTCACTTCAGGTCCCCAATGGAGTTTCAAAGCTCCATTGTCAAGCTTGCACCATTGTTACTGTCGTGGTTTAGAGCTGGGCTGGCCACTAAATCCTGGACAGATGCTCTCTATTAAGCCCTCTCCCCTCCCCAGAAGGAAAGAACAAAGAGAATAAGGGAGAGAGACTTTACAGGTTGGAAAATAAAACTAACAGATTTAATAAAGCAATAATACTACAGGATAATAATGTAAATAGCAATGAAATATATACAGATATGTACAGATATATATACAAAACCAGTATAAAATCCTCCCCCACCCTCCCCCAATGATGTATACATCACCAGAGGCTCTACAGAGCAGGGCACTGGAAAAGTCCCAGCCCAAACTCAGCAGCAGGTGGGAGCAGGATGTAGGAACACACAAATCAGGATCAGAGGCAGATGAACTAGCAGAATTCTGCTCAACTTCCACCATTGCAGGATCGAGACAGAAGGAAGGGTCGAAGATGGAAGAAGGGTAAAGACCCTCCTGATCCCTTGGCTTTATACCAAGTATGATGTACATGGGATAGAATACCTAGTTGGTCAGTTTTGGGTCCACTTCCCCCCCATAGGTGCAGACACAGCACCCATGGTGAGACAGTTGGCCTTGAGATTATCAGTTGTAGCAGCACATACTGGAAAAACATGCTGCTAGTTTCAGCAAGTTTAGCTACTTAGAAGAGACTGAGCTGAAAAGTAAAATCACTAAATAGAAAGTTAGTTCTATTTAGCTCAAACCAGGACAGTTACTACTACAAACATAGGCAAAATCATTAATTTCTCCCAGAGTGAGAACAGTGTTATATTCATATGTTCTTTCATTTCTCAGCAAAGATCATATGTAAATAATAAAATTAAGTAGTTTTCTTCAATTTTGAGTTTCACAAAGTAATGGGAAGTTGGAAAGTAAAGGGCTGTTCAAGACACACAGCAACTTGCTCTCTAGAAATGGCATTTAAAAATACATTAATGGTACATCCTAATATTCAATATGTACATAAGACAAAATATATATGAGGAAAGACATATATAAATGTGTAAGTTCTGGGAGGGAACTGGCCAAAAATAGAACGGGTTTTATGTGACTGCTTGGTTTCACGTAACAGTGGTTTCTAACTGAGTTTCACAGAGCACATCCTGTTAACTATAACAAGTTGGCTGCCTGCACAAATGCTGGCTTTTCTGGTTGTCACCTCCTACAACATACAAACGGCAGATGTGTGGGCTGTATCCTCGGCTGCAGTAAATTAATGCAGTTTTGCTAATCTTTAGGGAATTATGTCAGTTTATGCCAGCTGAAGTGCTGGTATTTGAATTATTTTCTACTAACAGTTAACTGGGTAAGTTATAGGCCCACTGGTGAGTAGAAGTTGCTCAGTCACCAAAAGGAGAGGAAGGGGAGCCAACAGATCCTTTTTAATGCAGAAATGCTTGAGACAATGTCATGTAAAATTAGCACACAGTTGAGTAGTACTGCAACACCCCAGATTAAAAGCACAATTCATTGTGGTAGTATCAAAAACTCTCAAACAGGTATTTGGTATGTAGACACTTGCAGACCTCATTTAAGTTGATGCATTTCTTCCAGCATCAGTGAAAGGGCAGATGAAAGCAGTGAAGCCTGAAACAGCAGAAGCCACCACTCAAGGCATCGAACCATGCTGAAAAGCTCATCGACAGTCAGGAAAGCAGTTCTCCCTGCAAGGGATTGTAAAATACAGCCTAGGGACTCCTGCATGGCATATGTGTAAAGGGGTGTATGAAATGTGAGACAGCTGCAAGTAAGCTCAGGCCTCTAAAAAGCAGTAGAGGCAGGGTTCGTGTTGTCCTAGCGCTCCTGTAAAAGCAGATGTGGATCTCAAAATAGGGAGCTGCCTGTTGCTGGTCACTCCTGCTGCATCTGGGCTGCCAAGACTTTTGTACATTCTTCATGAGTAAATAGCAATGTGTCCGAAAAATATTCTGTTCATTATAATCCAGTTATCTTCCTAACAGAATAAGTGTAACATCATTCTGAAAGTAGTCTAAACACTTGGATAAATATTCCAAGGATATATGTATATTCTCCCTCAGAGAATAACCACTTTCTCCAACACTAACATCTGAAGTTCATCAATATGATGACTGACTGTACAACTGTAATCAGGAGAGAGATCTGCGCTTAATGTTGATGGCAGGATTCTGTTTTCTCCACATGGACAAAATACTTGTCAGTTTTGTCCTTTCACTATACAGGGAAGGTGCCAATGGTTTAATCTGTCAGATGAGTACGGCAAATTTGAGTAGACTTGTTCTGTACCAAAGCAACATCCTCAGTGTTTCTCTTCCTATACTGTTTAAATGTGACTAGGTGGTCCATAGCTCTTCTGACCACCCTAACGCAGGCTGGAGAGTGCTCATGTGAATGGTCTTTTTTCTTTTTCAAGTCTGGAATCCTTATACTTCTTCTGGAACACTTTCCATGTTACGTAAAGAAGCTTACAGTATAATTAACCCATGAAAAAATGGCCCTGTTTTCAATGGAAAGTTAAACACATTTTCTATCTATAAAATTGTTACAACATACTTTTGCCCTTGGAAAGAAAAAAAAAAATCTATGAAATAAATCCAGTAACTATAAAAACCCAGTATTTTTCTCTTGTCCCTCCCATTCTCCAGGTGCCTGGTTGGTGGATAATGTACAATGCTTTATATTATTTTACTGCATAATATATTGGTCAATTTATGTCCTTGTGTATATCCAAATATGGTAGTTTGGAGCTCAGAGTCTTCGCAAGCAGCTGGCAAAGGGAAATTGCAATACCATAGATTACTCAGAATTCTTATACCCTATATATATGTCTTGTTTCCTGAGTGCAGCATGATGGTCACCCTTCCCTCACATGTCTCACCTTCTCAGATTGAAAGGTTTTTATTTTACTGTGAGAAGGGAACATGTATAGTAATTAATGTATGTGCTGTGCCATCACTGAAAACTCCCAGGGGAAACTAGGGATTGACTACTGTGGTAGTTATTCTTCAGGTCTAGCAAAAAACAGTTTCACTTACAGCACATACGCTGTGAAATTGTGTAAAAGAAAGAGCTGGAGATGTGGTCTGCCACAGAACTGCAGAGCCAGAAATAAAACTGAGGACTGCAGCAATCCAGACTCGTTGACCTCGATGCCTTTGCATGACTGACAAGCTGAAACTTCTTTATGTGGAGAAATTTGCTAGAAGAATTTTGCTGCCATAAATGTGTTAATAAAACTGAGCATATTGACACTTTATTTTGAAAAACAGCGTTCTCCAAAGCAGACTGAATAGAACTGGCATTAATATACTCATGGAGGAAAAGCTTATGTCATGTGATACTATTTTTCACATTTGGTGGCTGCCATTTTGCCAGTGCAAATGAGAATACTTAATAAAATTCTGCCCATGCCTAAATATCTTTATGGTGGTGCATATTTGCAAAAGGATTAACCATTTCTGCATACTTGTGCAAAATCCAAAACTGCTGACACAAATACCAACAAGTAGTGAACAGCTTGGATATCATGAATACATTGTTGCAGTATTTAACCATAAGGAGACAAAATGAGAAGATACTTAATGCTTTGCAGAAACCCATTAGCTGAATTCGAGGACAAAAGACTTCAGTTTGCCAAGGAGTGTAACGTGGGCTTTCTTCTATTGCAATATTTAAAAGAAGCAATGCCTGAACTTCATTGGTGTAAATGCAGTCATGCAAACAAGTAATTGAAATAATATATCTTAAAAGCAAGTCACGATGTGTTTTTCAAATAACTGGTTTACTCCATTGCCTAATGCATCCTTACTAGATGAATGAGTAGTAATTTTTATCAAGTGAGCTGAGGCAGTGTTGAAAGCTAGTAGGTAATATGTCCTAATACTGCTTGCTCTTAGTGCAGCTTCAGGAGTTGTTAGCTGTGTGCAACACTGAGCAATCTCTGTGCAGTTGAAAAGGAGCTCTGCATGTTTTGTGCTGAGTGTACGCCCGTGCCAAATTTCCCTTCTTGTGTGCTAATGGTATATTACAGTGATAAAAAACACCTGATAAATCTTTGATTTCATGAATGTTACTTCAATGCCTGCCGTTAAACTGCTGCCAGTCTGCCTTTGTTTCTATATGATGAATTTTTTTGTTGTTAATTTGTTTATCTGCTCTTGGTTCTAGTCGCTGTTTCTCTGAGGAATCAGAAAGTCATCATTCCCCAGGTTCCCGATGTGGATGCTGTGTCTGTGGCAGAGACGGTCTCAGTGCCAGAGCTTAGCCAGTTCACACTGTGCTTTGAAGCAACCAAGGGCAGTAGCGATGACAACGATGACTGGAAGGTTTTCTCCTACACCGATGCACTGTCCACAGAATTCTTCAGCTTCGGGAAGACCACAAAAGGCCATTTTCTATCCATCTCAGGCACACAGTGCATCCTTGAGAATGCATTGCCCCAAAATGCAGAGTTTTTCACAGGGACCTTTCAACAGCTCTGTGTCGTAGGGGATAGCTTCTCAGGCAGTATAGGCATATATGCCAAAAGCACCTACCATATAGTGTACTGTCCAGGTATCTTTGGCAAAGTTATTCCTGGAAATGGGAGGCTGGTGCTGGGCTCTAACAGCAATGAAGTGAACTCTCTAAATGGGGACATTTACAACTTCCGCCTCTGGAATTTCACCATGAATGCGCAAACACTGGCCAACCTCAGCTGTGATGTGAAAGGAAACATTGTAGACTGGGAAAATGAATTCTGGAGTATTCCAACTTCAGCACTGAAAGCAGAAAACAATTTGAGTTGTGGTGAGTACGCCTTGCCAAATCTTTTTTGCTTATTTTCCCCCCACACTTCTGCATTGTGCTGAGCATATCATATACCAGCATGGAAAAAAAAAAAAAAAAAAAAAAAAGAGTTCCTGTGAAAGAACATCAGCTAGGTCTTACTTTTCTTAGACTTTAGCTCAACTCTTACTATACACAAAGGCTTTGAAAGGGCATAGAGCTGTTCCCTTAAAGGAAAAGAACAAGTCCCCTAAGTATGTTGAGCTGCTGCTTGAAATGATCTGCAGATCAAAGTTTTTCCTAAGCAGTTTGTTTGTTTGCCTTCTACTCATACGAAATGGGGATAACAGACATGTATCTGCTAACTTAAGTAAGGTTACAGTGGTCTCTGGAGAATAAAAAGCATGTTAACTAACGATTTAGTAAATGTTTTTAGAGTAAAGTTGGTAAATGTTTTGGTACCTACCCCTTGGCCCTTCGATTAGCCAGAAGGAGCACTTGCTAGCTTTGTGCTGTTTGTGCAAAGCCAGAAAAAGCAGTGACTAGACAGCAACGTGTGCAAGACATAAAAGTATGAGAAAAGATTAAATTAGAGGAGGCAGAATAGAAGGGTGAGTTTTAGATAAGAATCATTGGGTTTTATCTTCCTGATGACGTAATGTCAGTCCTTCTTTCAACTGATAATTACTGAAGGTCTGTCTTTCTGTAGATTACTCCAGAAGATAAATGTTAATACATTGTCCAATCTATTTTCATTTCATGGCTCAGATGCTTGATTCTTGTAAGCGTCCAGGTGTAATTTTTATATATGTATATGTTATTACAGCTGGTTGACAATTTTCTCCTGGAACAATTTTTCCAGGGGAAAAAAATAATCTTTGTCAGTTTGGACCAGTATTTTTTTGTTAAAGAATGTTTTGGTTAGTGAAAACTTTAGAGATATTTGGATAGTTATAACATGCATAAGAGAAAATCTGAATCATGGCCAGCAGTAGCCTATACATGCATATATGATGCTGGTGAAAATCAGCTGCTGTCACATGCCATGTCCATGAAGTCTGAGCCTTCCTATTGTAACAAATACAAATATGTTAAAACATCACAAAAACATTACATAACGAGTTACAAATATTGGCTCTTTCTGAGCCACATGGGTTGTCTTCATATCTAACGTTGTCCTCTCTAATTTTGCCTCCTTGCTCCTTTGACAGCTTTTTATTTATTAGTTTAAACATAGTTTAAATGGTGTCAGTATGTGTGTCTCCTGACAGAGTATCTGTCAGTGCTCTGAGAATTCTTAGCTTAAAACAGAAACTGGCATCATTAGGGCATGCTAGTTGCTGTATCTAATAGCTTATGAAGGACTAAGGTAGCTAAAAAAAACCATCTTGCTTGCCTTAGTTTCCTCAAATCAAAATGGGGTGTACTCATTCACAGCCAGACTCCCTGTAATAGCTCTCAGCATCAGCCTGCTAAAAAATTTAAGCAATACCTCTGTAAAAACATGAGCTATTAGGTGCCTTCACCCATCTACGTGAACAAAGAAAAGTCTAATCTAAACATTGACTGTGAGTGATGAAGGCATTCTGGACACAGAAGTTGTTGGTTTTCCATCAGTATGAACTGATCTGACAGAAAATAACTTCCCAGAAAATCTTACTCCTCTTACACTGTTATACCACGTAGACTACCACAACACTTTTACTAAACAACGTACCAAGAATTGCAAAAGTTGCAGTCTCAGTTAATTTTGACAGGAGTACAGGTCTTGTCCTTCTTTCTCTTGAAGACTGTACAGTCCTGTGACACAAATGTAATATAGTTGTGGTCATAGAAACAATACACTTAGTCTCATACCACAGCTTTATTCTTTGAGATGTCATTTTTCAGTGGTTTCCTTACAACAGTACGTTATTTTAGAAAACGTATGTTAGTGTTCATGTATTAGGCCCAAATAGTATAGATACTTCAAATTTATCTATATATAAGCATTCTTATTTCTGCTAACTAAGCCTATAAGAAACCTAACTCATTAATCAGGCTTTTTCTTTCAAAGTTGTTAAATCAGTCCCTATGATACAGAATTCCCTGAACCAGAATATTTCCTAAAAGAAAATACTGAATGCAGTGCCATTTCAGAAATGGCTTCTAATCCCAGAAATTGAATTGCTAGAATTTTCTTCACTTCATCTTCTTAAATGAAAGCTTTCATTGTAAAACCAGGAGAGTTGATGAGTCAGGCTATCAACCATGAATAAAGCACTGGCAGTGGGGAGATGGCTTTAACTGTTTAGGCTTCATTTAGCAGCAATGGAAGGATTTATGCAGAAAAGAGGCTTTAGCACTGCTCCAATAATGCTTCCCCAGGAAGCGGCATGTAACTTAAGAAAAACCAAACCAAGCATTTATGAGTGATCTCAACATATCTGTGCCTGAACAGTGCTTACATTTTTCAAGGGGTATTATTTTCATGGGTTTTCAGACAAAGCTTTTACAAGTAGATTTATGGAGTATAAAAACACTGGAAAATTGTTCCAGATAATCTTTTCATAGTTTTACCTTCTCCTAGTTTATTCCTTAGACTAATGTTTTCACAGCTGTGCAATCATGGTGGGGTGTTTCTGGAAGACTTGACGGAATTCTGTTTTTATTGCCGTACCTTCGCACAGCTTGCATTTAAAGGTATATGTACACAGCCTGGGTATCCGGACTAATTTTAAAACAAGTAGCCTAGGTAATGATCGCTGTGTAACAACATCAGTTTGGAGCTCAGTGAAGGAAAACTGAGGAACATTGAATCAACTTCTGATTTTGGAGCCTGCACTGGCTACACCTATAGCAGGGTATGACTTACTCATTTTAAGGGTAGCATGGCTGTATGTCTGTCCATGCCTACAATAGCATTTGCTTCATGTATTCTTCATTTGGGTCCTTCATTCCCAAAGGCGAGAGGAATTCTTAATTTCACTGACAGATTTAACGCAGTGTGGGATCTGTCTGCCTAAGGCAGCTGAATTATGTTTCAGGCTGAGCAAATTACACTTAGTGCTGTTTATGAAGAGTGGAATGAAAAAGGCTGTTCCAAAGGTCAGTGCATCTCATACTGAAGAAGATGCCTCAGTGAAATCAGAAGTTTTTTGCTGTAGGAGTGCCTGTTCTCCACTGACTATGAAGAAAGTCTAGTGTAACGAGCAGATACGGATGTCTGAGTTTTAGACATTTGAAGTGGGTGAGATATATCACACAAAATGTCTGTAATACAGGTCCATATCTGCTGTTCACGTTGCTGTCCATTCCACTTGACTTCATAAATAGCCAAGCATCTGCCTGCATCCAGATCATTGTATTTTCTTTAGGGAACACTGAGGGAAAATGAGTCTGGCCAGAATTCAACCCAAATAAAACTTAAAACAGCTTATTGAACATATTTACTGAAAATACTTCTCTTTAAAGTATACAGTCTTGTGATATAAGTGTTTTGTAAAGTTGGATTGCATTTTTTAGTTTCACCAACTAGAATCACAATCCTTTTTTAAATACTCACTGAAGAAAATATGAATATCCACAGATTTTCCAAGACATCTTTCAGGTGAGCTTTCCCTGACACAGAGCCAGAAGAAGGAACTTACAACAGGTTTTGATGTTATTTGTTTAATATTAGCAAACACATTTGGGAAAAACAAAAAAAGTTCATAGGAAGTGCACCAAGGAAGTGAATTTGCCCATACCTCTCAATCCATTAAAAAAAAAAAGGCGCTTTAATATTTGCTGAGAATCACATTTTTTAAATTCTACCGTATGTTTTGTGGGCAATACATGTAACGGTATCTGTGACGTGACATGGTTTCTGCATCAAGGCCCCATGCTTCGTCTGTTCTTGCACCACAGGAAATACTTTCCCAGCTATCTTTGCGAGCTGATGGGTGGTGGCTCTTTAATATTACGCAGGGATACAATGCTTCATGAGAGAACCTCATTGAGTCAATACGATTCTGAATGGTAAAGCAGAAGTCAAAAGGGCAACACTCCCAGTAGATTCAGAGTGTGCCATGCTCTATGGCCCCATTATTTTCAACAGAGTGTGCAAAACCAGCTGTATCTGCAGCTGAACCAGTGGGATACACAAAGTGCAGTTTCACCAGTTCTTTTTCTGTAGCCCTTCTTATATGCCCTGGTTTTGTCTCCAGATCGCCAAAGTATGTGCACATTGTTACGAATAATTCAGCAGAGATAGAGACTTATAACATTATCTCCCTATAAATCATGCATACCAAGGTATTAATCATGCCCACGCCCTGGGCAGAGAACAAGTTTAATCATCTTTTATCTGTTTGGCGTCTGTCACAGGCAGACTACTCATAAGTGTGTGGTGGGTAACCTGTGCTACAGCAGCAGTGATTTCTTCTCCAAGGTGCATGTTCTTGCTCATGAAGATTGCATAGATCCTACAACCGTACTGACCCCTCCGCTTAAAGCTGTTCCACAGAGTACACGCAAGCTGCATTCATTTAATGGGATGTTGCAAAAGCTAAGAAAACCAGAGGAGAATGCATAAGTGACTGTAACTTGCAAGTCAGTGAGGTTTTCATGGGTACCCCAGCAGCAGCAGAAAATGAAAGCACATGAGTCTTATAGGCAAATGGCAGTATCAGTTTTGCCACAGAGAGAATTTAAGGAAAAGACTGTGTCACTGAACGATATAATATATTTAAAGACATGGTAATTATATGTCCAGCAGCCAAAGCTTTCTAATTAGTTTACTTGATTTTTCTAAAGGCTCATACCTAATTCCCTCTTCTGCAATTGAACCAACCAGCTGTGCAAACCTGGGAAGCCTTTGCCAAGGTAAGAAGTCCAGGTCATTTTCACAGTTCCATCTTTGTTAAATCTTTATTGTCCTTGATTTTTTTAAATTCCATTTCTTTTTTTAATTATTTCTAAAAGTGTTAACTTTTATAAGAAATAGCAAGGAAATTAATTCCTTAGTCTCATAAAGTGTGTGAGTGTCCTGGATGTACAATATGTGAAATCAATCCCATGATAATGCATTTTCCAAATAGTCTTCATTATATCAAAATTAATTGACTGCTTTAATTTCTTTCTCCACCTCTTTTTCTCCTGCACATTTTGACAGTAGAATATTAACCAGGATAAGAAGTGGGCATAGCTATAAATAAAAAATGAGCAGATGTAAATAAAGGAAATTACTATTATTTGGTGGTTTTTTTCCAGTAAGTTATTTTGAGGTTAGATACTTTGAGATTAGTAGGTAAAAATTTGACATCAAACTGCAAAACCCAGCAGTTATTAGTCAATGAGACTCTTGTTACAGCACTTAGTGGTGCTTTCATATTGTAAAAATCCCCACATATAAGAGTTCATAAAGTCTTTTGGAAGGTCAGCTCAGTTGAACACAGGTGAACCCTAAAGATTTCCATGCCATGTGAATTACTGGACATGCAAGCACAGTTAATTCTTTCCACTCTACTTAGAGGCTGAAGTTCTAGAAAAATTCTTGTCATGAACAACATCAGCCCATTTCCGTGATACCTTCATTAACACAGGCCTGCTCATGAGGGGGCTTCTATGTTGAACTTTAATCGCAGCAGTAGCTGCACCAAAAATAATGTCTAGCTCTGTAACTCTTTTCAGGCTGAATGGTGGAGGATGGAGACAGGAGAGAATAAAATATAAAAAGGGAGGAGGAAGTCTCAGAACTCTTTCAAAACCAACATTTACAAGTAAATCAATGTTAGCTTAAAAATAAAAAGGAAAATGCACTCTGCTTGGGAAGCCAGTAAGAGATTTATGTCAGTCTTCAGTGTACTTCTTCTGGATTTCCCTGAGATAAATTTGATTCAGGTTCTTGGAGCATATTGTACTGGTCTCCATAGGGAAAGTAAAATGCCAGTTATGTCCATAATCCGATTTTAACCAGTAATTTTCAGGCATAATATTCACAAAGCACAATATGCTCTAAATAATACTACTCAAATACTGTATGTAAATTTGACAGCAACAATTATTCAGTATTAGTCTTCTTCTATGTAAAGGGTAATATAACCACCATATATAGATCTTTTGTCTGTTCTCCTGGAAGAACTCTTGGGAGTTCTCCTCTATCAAAATGGCGTGGTGTGAAAGGAGAGAGAATATCTTTCATTAGGTCACCTAATATGGCTACAGAAATGGAGACACTTACAGCGAAACAAGCCTGCATTTCTAAAAGCCTCATCCTTTTTTCCAGCTTTATTAACTTGTCTAGTAGAAGATATTGCCTCTAATAAAAGATGCTACCTCTCAAACTTGCCTCTCTTAACTTCTTAGACCATCACATCTTCAATAAACATTATGAGTGCTTTCACAAAGGTAATATTCTTTCCTTCTCTGAAAAGTGTTTGGTAAAGTGTCGCTGCTGTTCTGTGTTTGTCACTTTGGAAGTGACAGATCAGATTTACCCTGTTCCTCATCATCATCGCTATTGTCATACTAATGAAAAATCATAAAGAGATGTCTGTCTGTCAGCACTGCAAACTTATTTTAAACTGGGAGGCCAGTTTGGATTCTTTTGTTTGTTTGTTGTATGTTGTGCAATAGCACCAGTAACAAAATTTGTGGATGCCAGATTATGTCAGCTACGGGATGATGAAAAAGCCATTTTCTCCGCTATGCTTAGCAAGTATTTTCATTCATTGGAAGATGCCTCCTTTAACAGTGTTAGCTGGAGGATGTAATCAGTAAGAAGCCTTAAAACTTGTCTCTCAGACAATATGGCACTCAAGACACATCGAAGAAGAGCTTTTTTGTCTGATAGGGTGTCACTTTATATATTCAGTTTCCCAGTTAGAACCTGTTAGCTGCAGTCTCCAACTCTTCCTTATCTTTCCCAAAGTTTCTTGTTTCACTGAAGCCTGAACATGAGGCTGAGACCTGAGTTTATGACTTTGAGACTCAAAAGATTAGCTAAAACAACATAACAGAAAGTCTAAAGTGCAATTTCTTGACTAAAATACAATTGATTAACCTTCCAGATTGGTTCTTGATCAAAATCTGCTGAAGATGTGTGACACTGTGAGATTATACTGCACCAACCTTCAGATTTTAAAAAAGTGTTTTTGATAAAAAATAAATCTGTTAATGAGTGGATTTGCATTCCCTGGGAGTTACTAGATAAAACTAAATTATTTTCCAAATTATTCTTTGAAATTATCTTTGAATTCCTCTAGCATGTATACCCTCCCAGTCCACTGTGGGGGAAATTTGCAGTTTTGGCTCCTCACTCTGAATTTGAAAAGCTGTTTCTCCTGGGAAACATTTGCCAGAGTTGTGTGGGATGACTCCTGTTAGTGCCAGTGAGAACAGTATGGCTGAGATCCTACATGAAGCTTTCAAAATATATTTTCTACTCCAATTTTTCCAAGTCTGATTTCAATTCTCTTCATTGTATGAAGTTCAATGGAGTTAATTGGATCCTTACATGGGTGTTTTAGTTTCATATTTTTTTCATAATCTTCAGTCACCGAGTAGGGACAATTATTCTTTTCACAGGCAATATTCTAAGTGCAGGCGTTTTAGAACTTTTAAGAACTATTTTCTGGTCTTTGCACAGCTGTTTGGATCTGAAGCTCTCATAAGAGAACCCTTACACTGGCAAAATTCCCACTGGAGTCAGTTAAAGTTAAGATTGCAGGTTTGAGACCTCAGTTCATTTCCATTCATGACTTTGTGCAGAAAAAAATGTGTTCATTTAACGTTTATGGCATTGTGTGCAAATGGTTTCATTTTACATTGTCATGCATTGTTCCCATTTTTTCTTACCTTATTAACATTCATATTTCATTCAAGTTCACCTCTTTCTCATCTTTATTACCAGCTACTGTAAATGCTACTACTCCTACACCACCCACTGTCACCACTAACATGCCTGATACTAATAGAAACGATAAGCCAAACAATGGTAAGAAATCCTGTGTTACATTTTTCCTTGTACTATGTCTACAGCAAGTTTATTGTATTTTAAGGTGTGTTTTTCATACTATCATAATGTCAAGGGTCATATCTCAGTTCTGGTCTTGTTTACACTGAAATAAATTACACTGAAGAACCTTACTGGACCATGTAAGAATGGTGTAAATGAGAACAGAACCAAACTCAATGTTTATTTGCATCATGTTAATCTGGCTCTTGTAGGGGGAAGTGAAGGGGACTCACTTCATGTCACCCATTGTATTTACCCATGCAAAGGACAAGAGAAGGGAACAGTATTTTTAAAAAGGGTCCAAAAAGAATCAGGTTTTTGAAATGTTTTAAGACAGCAGATTATGAGGCATTGTGTAGCCCCTGCCTGTGCATCCAGGGTGGTAGGATGCTGAGATTGTTCCTCACTAGTTGAGCACATGAGCCAAGTGGAATCATTCCTATGGAGCACAGCCACTTCCACTGAGTCAACAGGAATCTTTCCACTGACTTCAAGAATAGCTGGATCAGACTTTACTAGGGAAAATGTTGACACTATCAGATATCGTTTACTTTTCATTTAGAAAGATTGAGGGAAAAAATAAGGTGGTAAATGAGTCTATTATTAGCACAGGAAAAAAAAGCAGGGATTTCTTTTGAGGTTTTCTCAAATTCTATGACATCACTGTCTCCTAGAGACCTAGCATCATTTTGTGAGGTACTGCTAAAGTATTTGTTAGTTTGTAGAAGGTAGATGTTAAACATTATTAACATGGAGCTGGATTTCTGCAGTTTTAACCTGAGGCTCAGAGATATTTTTTTGTAAAGATTTATTTTTTTCAGTGTGCTCCACAGAAGTAAATTAGAATCGGGGTCGGCAGAGAGGGGGTTGTGGTTCGGGTTTTTTGTTCGGGTTTTTTTGAGTTTCGTTTGGTTTTTTTCCCAAATGCATCAGTTGTTACTGTAGGATTTAAAATTCTTGGAGTGTTTTTTCTCTTGGCAGATCATTTCTCGTACATTGGCAATCAGAGAGTACAGTAGACAATGTGAAAGAATTAATGTAAATTCAGCCTTTTTGGATTTACTAAGCTGTAGTAGGAAGAAGAAAATATTGAAAAATTCTTCCAAATTGTGTTTATTTTCTTTTTTTGTGGAGCCACTCACTCTATGTTCACCATCAGCAGTTAACTTTGAATTTTGTAACTACAGAAGGAACTGAATGCCATATTAATATTAGTATGAATAAAAACTAGACAATTAAGTCCTTTCTTTGGCTTTGAAACTTCCCAAATAAAAATAAGCCAAATTCATATACAGTGTACAGTAGAAGCACATTAAACTTTCACTCAGCTAACTGGCATCATTTTCCACTCTTGGTAGGTTGATTTTTAGACCAAGAGCAGACAGTCAAGAACAGACAGTTAAGTTGGATATGTTTTCTTTAGTCCATTAACTATGTGGCTTACTACACACAGACCTGCAGGAATTCAGACTTCCTGCTACAATTATCTTCAGAATGAAGAGAAATTCACCTGAATCCTCCCGTTCACAGCCACAGAGACAGCAAGAGTCTAAGATAGAAGGGATCAAAACCATAGGAATTATCTCTACCCCAATTATTTCACCAGTGAAACAAAGGCCTCTCCATTTCAGTAAAAACTCAGCAGATGAGAACCCAAAGAGAAAAAACACATACAGCTTTTTTCTTCCAACTGTGTACACATCAGCTGCTTCTGAGGAGACCAGCAACAACACCTTGGCTGCTTTTACAGAAATAATGGACCTAGATAATACTGTGATGAATCAGTTACCAAATAAAAATATTTTGGATGCTTCTAGAAGTTTATTTCATAACACTTCTGATGCAACAGATGCTGTTATGGAGCCTGCTGTGAATGCAGCAGTTCCACTTCTTCAAAACGGAAGTCCTAATGCAGAGCTCGCACCGACTTTGGCAGATGGGCCAGATCATTCTGACTCTGAGTCAGCTCTCCGCTCTCCCGTTAGCAGCAGCAGCACTGGTTATGCACACAAAAAAGAAACTGTGTGGATTTCGTCCTCCAACAGCGACACAACCAATTTCATGCATACAAGTGACGTCTTGGAGCCTATCACTTGGTGGAGTGAGACTGTATTTCATCATCATGTCCCCTCTGACGTTCAAGAAGACAGTCATCATTCTCTTTCTAGCTTACCTATATCACCTACAGAGGGGGAATCGACATTCCAAAAAAGTAGGCTAGATTTGCTAGACCTTGCACCTGAAAATTTTTACCTGGAAATTATAGAAGGCAATGCTGATAGGAGAACTTTTTCTATGTTAGCAGCAAACAGTGAATTTCAGTTTAGAAAATCTATGCTCATTAGGGAACATTATTCAGGAGTCTCTACAAATCTAACCTCTGTGGAGACTCCACATGCTAACCTGACAACTTTTTTTCCAAACATGAAAAAAACAGACACAAAATTTATGCCTGATATCCAACTGACAAATTCAGTCCTAGAACACGGCAAAGAACTACTAACATTTTCAGCACTTCTGGTAGGAACAGGCTGGGCAAGCTCGGCATTTCAGCATGTTGTGGTGACCCGACCTGTTCATCAACAATCATTGACTGACATATATCTGGAAAGTAACAGCATATTTGTATCTAATAGTGATTACCAGTCTCATTATTTAAAACGTTCAGTATATTTTCAAAAGCCAAGTGAGACCCTCAGAAACACAGTACTGGAGAACAATTTAGATGCAATTCATGATAGTAATCAAAATGAAGGATCAGCTTTTTTCATATTAGAACCAGAGAACACGAGTAGAGTTGGCAGCTCCTGGGATTCAGGTTACTTGAATTTTTCAACAAAATATGTAGACATTTCCCCTTCTTTAACAGCAAGTTTCTGGACTGTTTCCTATTATGTGAAAGGAGCATCTCAAGTGTTTTCTGGGGACCCATCAGAAAATTGGTGGCTCTCATTTAATAAACTGCTTTCTTCCCCAACAGAGAGATTGCCATCCATTAGTACACCTGCTAAATCTGACAGTATCTCTGAACAAACATCTGCCATCAGATTATTAGGTCACAGGGCTGAAGAAATGAACTTTTCTAGTCATGTATCAGCTTTGGAAAAACAAATATTTAGTTCATTTTTTCCAGGCCTTTCAAAGAGAATTTCAAAAAGCAGTGTCAGGACAGTGTCACAGTTGCAGTCAACAGTGAACTTTACAAACTTAACCCTATCTTCCAACAGTGAATTTTATTTTTATTTTCCTTTTCCTTCCTTGGAAACACCTTTGAGCCAACTCTCTGTACAGGTGCAGGTAAGTCCCTTTAGTAAGGTCCTTGAAAACTCCACAGAAAAATTAATATTTGATAGTTTGCACATGCAAATTGGAACTGACTTAGTAAGTGATCAAACCAACATGACCTCTCTAAACAATAGTAAGCAGCTTGTTTCTGTCCTTCCAGCACATTCGGGAACCCAGCCTTCACGTTCAAGGGATAGCCAAGCTTCTTTCTTGATCAATACACAGGTTAAGAGTTTGGTAGACAGTGCAAGAACACATGGGTCACTGCAGTCTCAAAGTCTTTCAGTGAATGATGCTCTAACAAATACTATTGATAAAGCAAGAATTAAAGTTCAAATAGATGCAAATGTTTTTTTAAAAACCATCAATTCAATGAATTCTGACTTCCTTCCAATGATGATGTCTTTGGAATTAAGGCACCTTCTTTATTCAGACTCAAAGAACAGAGTCAGTGCACCTCCTAATAGCTACTCGACACCTCCACTCCCACAAAGTTTTAAGAACAATCTTGATACAATTTCTCCAAGCCTGATCCCTCAGTGGGATGTAGCAGAGTTAACCTTGCCAACAGTAGTACCGAGAAGTCATCCAACTATTTTAGGACAAAACTCCGTTGAAAGTCAAGGGAACAATCTGAGATACTCTCTATGGGCAGCAGAACAAGAAATCATTGGTGATAATGAAGACATAAGGAATTCTGCTGTTCTGATGTCAACAAACATATTGAGGCTTTCCGAATGGGATTCGGAGGTGTATGGATCCTTTAGCAAGCACAGTGAAAGAATGACTTCTCTGAATATTGCTAGTACTCATGTGTTGGATTTTGAAAATGGACGCTCCGTAAATCTCGCTTCTATTCTGGAATCATCAAGAACTGCAATAATGAATGCAATACCTTTGCCATCTTCATACAATGAAGTTGTTATTCAGCACAAAGAGACCATCTTGAACGACACTCTGACAACACCTGAAGCAACAATTCATCGCTCTTTCATGCAGTCCCAAATGCCAGTTTCGTCTGTAATGTACCATCAGTCATCAGTTTTGGCACATGTTCATTCCTTGACTGGTTTATCATCTGGAACAAGCCAAAATACCACCCCTTACCCACCACTGAATCAACTTACTAGCTCTCCTGCAGTCTTTTTATCGTGTTTATGTTATTCCTTCACTGAGCTGGGCTGCCTGTGTCGACCTGAGGTCAACTACAGTATGTCAAGCTGTTAAGTTAGATATAGAAAAAAAACGGATGATCTTATATATTAGATATTCAGTTGGTAGACTGAACATAGAAGTAGCTGACTTTCATCCTTTAGATATAGATCCATTTAGCATAGCAAAAAATTTTAGAATAGTAATTTAATTATAGTAGAAGGGAATTTGTAGCACCTTAGTAATAGTAAATGTCATTAATGTGTACTCCTCTAAGACAGCTCTCATGAGACTGTGAGAATAATATTGTGTTGCCATCTTTTCTATATATTTTTATGCCATTTTCTTGTTCAAGATTGCATGAATGTTTTTCAGTTACAGTATTCATATATTTTTGAGGATTTAACTTTCAAAAAGCAAAGGATTTCCAAAAGAAACTTTAGGATAATTTATTTAACAGAATTTTAATAAATCAGTCCTGGCATTTCATTGATCATTATATTTTTGTAGTTGGTTGTCGGTGTGGGAGAATTGTTTTTCCAGGGTTTTTTTTGTCCTCTTTTTTTCCAGTTATCTTTGGCTACTTTTCATCCATTTTCTGCCCATAAAAATATTTTTTTTCATTCAGCATTTTGAGGTGGGATTTCCACTGTTTAATTTGGAGAGTGAGAAATCATTTTTGGGTTTCACTATCTGCCACTGCAGTCTCCTGAGAGTGTTTAAAAATATAGATTAGTTCTTTGTTCTTGTTCTTTTTTCACCTCATTAAAACATGCTTTGGGTCACCATCTGGTGGAGATCTTGAAGCTGTTGACTAGTTTGTAGTTACTATGTTTGATTTTAAAAATACTTTGCATATTCCTATATTAACATGATTTTGTCCATATGGATAATTATATAAATAAAGTTTTAATTATAATTATATGTAATTATATATGAATGTGTAAGAGTATATATATATATATAATGCACACTTTCTGTATGTGTATATCTCTGTAGCACATATAAAAGGTACATTGTACATATAAAAATGAATACATGTATATACATAGGTATATACATATAAATGAGATCCAGGTCTTGCAAGTGTTTTCAACTTGCCCAATTTTCTACTTCCAAAGACTTTTTTTTCTCTTTTTCATTTGAAACAATCACAGTAATAATAACAAACTAAAACACATTTTCCGTTTAAACTGCACACCAAATTTTTGTATCTCCTGAGTTAAGGGTGGGAAAAAAAGGCAATAAATAAAAAAGCAAGCAAGTTCATTCTACTCATATCTAAAATTTAATCGCAGCTTGCCAAAGAAGGTAACTGGTAAACCCTCTTCCTGTAAGAAATTGATTCTTTAGTATCTTATCATGGAGGAATTTTCATACTAATCTCAGTGATCATAGAATCTGTTCCATAATGAAGAGAAGGAACAATACTCAAGCCAGCTCATGAATAGGATACTACCCAATATGCACAATTAAATCGGAAAATACTGACTTCAGTTTTTTCCAGATACTTTTATTTCAAGCTCTTGTAAAATTATTATCTATGAAGTTGTAAGATGATGACATTTGCTCCTCATATATAACTACAATAAAAGTTCTTTTGTTTAGACTCAGAAGATAGAGTACTTCCTTTACAATTGAGAGACAGAAGGGGATTTCTGTATAATTGTTGTCATGTCCTGTTCTGTCCTATGTAATGTCTCTGTAAGATTTACATAAGTTTCATATAAATACATTTATCTGTGATCAAGACCCACAACTTCATTTTGTAGCAGCCCTGAACCAAGCAATGCTACATGTATGCATACATGCAAGTATATTGATCCAGAAGCTCTTAAACCTCCCCCATATCCTGGGAAATTTTATCCAACCATAATGTACAGAACTTTTAGTAGCTTAATGAAAAGAATTTGACTTGTGAAAAGTATAGAATTTTAATACAGACCATAACTATGAGATAATTTGATGTTATTTATTAGATGTGAAATCTTGCAATACTGCCTACCAACTCATGAGCTTAAAGACAATATATATTTACCCAGTGCCATTAAAAAAAAAATAATTGCAGAATATAACATTTCCCCAAGCCAAGTGTTATGTGTTTTGTGACTGAAAATGGTTTGTTCAGCTGCCGGTTTTGTAAAACTAATGTGAGTTCTCTTTTTATCTGGCCATTACCAGGCCAAAAAACAAAGACTATGCTGTGAAAACAAGAACTGGTATGCCTTCTCCCACCTAATTCTGTCCTCAGTTATTATTTTCAAGTTACATCAAGTCTTGTTACTTGATCAGCCTTATCTGCTCTCACAAAGTTTTATGTCTAGTCTGCAGTGGTTGAATTCTGGATTATAACAATATGACTGAGAGCAGAATTTATCCATGTTGCAGACTTCAGTAATTATGATTACTTTGTAAATTCATAACACTTTCATGATCCTGCTTTTACACACCACAGTAAAGGCATATGCAAAATACTATTTAAATGTACATTGTTAATGATTTTCCCATGTCACATTTCAAGTGTCTCTAAAAATATGGAAGGGGAGGGAATTCTTGTCTAATTCGACAGGACTGGTGAAAATGGGCCCAAGCCTCCAGGGCTTGTTCACTCCAAATTGTATAATGACTAAAAGAGCTTGAGGTATCCTTGAATCTTTATATTCATCATGACACTAAAGATATATTGTTAAAAAGGTAATTTTCTCAATTTCTGACATTATCATGCTGTTTTTAATGGACAGGTGGGCTTTTCTACAGGATATCTATAACTGTCTTTAGTTCCAACTCCAACTCAGTGTCAAAAGTACATGATGTGGTTGCAGAATGGGTAAGTTAATTTCTCTTTCCTGTGTGTTTACATATATGAATCTGCTCTACTGATGTTATCAATCTGAAAAGGAAAAAAAAAAGAGAGAATACTAAATAAATTCTTAAATTAATTCTTAAATGTTCTCTGAAGATCTTTCTATTATTGATTTGCACAGTAATGAATTAAACTCTAGGTACTATCAATAAAATTTTGAAATGTCTCCACTGTACCAGCCAGTTTCTTAAGAAATGTAGGTACTAGTTGACATTTTGGAACATGTGGAGAGTTCAGAACTGTCCACTGAAAGGTAGATGTCTAAGTTCCAACATAACTATATAGAGCAAAATTTTTCTCCCAAAATATTCATGAAGTTTTGAAGTTATATTGTGATGGAAATTTAAAAAAGCACGCAGTGTTCATTTGTGTGAGGCAATACATTTTTCCAATTTTCCCTAATGTTCTCTACTTCAGAAGTCTTCTGCCCTAGGTGAGTTGTTGGAATTTCTAGTAGCCCCTGGTTTTTCTGCCCATTTTAGCAGACATAAGCTTCTTCCTAGGCCCTTTGAGTGGAAGTTCCTGCCTCTGAAAGTTTCTCCTGTTTGAATACAGATATTGTCTGTCCTTTTTGACCATTCACATAGTGGCACTCACACAGTCTGTAAGTAGTCTCTATACCAACTACTTACATGAAAATATGTTGTTATAAATATATGGCAATTATGCTTTATTTTTTGTTTAATAAACCTGGAAGTTTTCAGCTTTTAGAAGCTAAGGAAGAGAAACCACCTTTAGTCACCTACAACCCAGAAATGCAGCTATCCACCCCTGCCAAGGTTGTTTTCTTAGCAGCAGTAGCCAGGGGAAGTACGTAGGTGCCTGAGCCAAAGAATCTAGAAAGGGGTCCCTTGGGCCTGAGAGGGTATGCAAAAGTGTCTCCTGGGGAAAAACTGAGCAGCCATTGCCCACTCATAATAAATAGTACAAAGATCGGAAAAAAAGATCATCATAAGGTTGTAGACTTTTGGGTGAAAATTTGCCCTGCAGTTTTGTCAGTAAATCTTTTCTAATCAAAGTGTTTCTGAGAATTTAAGATGAGGAAGAGAGGGAGAAAAGGACAAGTTCAGCATCTTGTGCACTCAACTGTACACTGTGTCATGACCCTATGGAGATTTCCTTCTGTTAGTGAAAAAGCCCACATTTCTCACTACCAGTTGTACATCTAATATAACAATCACCTCAATGAAATGGGACAATGTTCTTTTTGCTTTGAAAAACTGAAGGGGATTTCTCAAAGGAGAGAAGGGTGAAATTCTAACTCTGTCTTAAGCAACAAAGATCCCCATTAACATCTCACCATTCATGTGATCAATGTCTTCCTGTTTTCCAGCTAAACCGTACTTTCCAGAACTGGAATTACACTGTGTATGTGGTCAATATCAGGTAAATGAAGGGCAAAGATGTTTATACTATGTTCCTTTTGGAAATTAGCCCACTCTAATAAATGTTTATTTCTTTTCTAGCATCCATCCTGGCTCCACAAAAGAGAGAGTAAGAGAAAAAAGAAGTATAAATAGGTAACATTTTAAAAGGCATTTTCTTGATAGGGGCAATGGCTGCTTTACAACAGGCTTTACTGTCTATTACTGGTTTCATTGTCTGTTATTGGGCATATGTTGCCAATCTGTAAACATGTGACTGCTGGTGAGTTGAGTGCTCTGGATGTGCTCAGAAACATAATACTGGTTATTGTGTTTGTGTTGGTTTAAGCCTACTGAGCTTTAAACCATAGCAGATCAATTTTTTCAGAGCTCGGGTTTCATCTGTCACAAAACTGAACAGACATATCATATACCTGTGGTATGGCACACCCAGCTTGCTTTAGCAACAAGCTTTGCTATGCTGGTATCTATCCACTGTCACTGTGTTTACTCTCTTGAACCAGAGCCTTTTAAGTTAACAGGCATCTTACTAGATGCAAAACACTGAAAAATCATGCTAGAATTGAAAGCCAAACTAGTGTGAGTTAGACTATTTACCATATGCTCTCATTTCCTGACTTCTGCTGGGCTCAGAGGCACTGGAGTTGGGACAGCCTCAAAGGCAGCCAAAGAAAGTTAGATGGGTCACACCCTGTGAAAATTAGGCCTAGGGGAATTTCTTTGAAAGCAGCCAACTGATTTCTGAGGGATATAGGGGGAAGGAGTGATTCTTAGGGCCAAATTAAGGAGAAGAAATCAAAACGTAGTGTTGTGAGGAAGGGCGTAACAAGTGGGTATGGGATGTATCTGTTTGCAGTGTAGGCAAAAGTCCCATAGGAAAGGACTTTCAGTGCTGACTTTTGAGAACTACCATGATAACAGGTGGGCTTTTTAATTTCAGAGATAGTATTCCCAATTTGCCATCAAGTAGCTACTACTGCTTCCAGTTTTCTACAGTTTGCCTAGACATGAAAAGATTTTTAAAAGGTACTATCTCCTTCCCACACACCCATAGCAGAAAGACAGCTTTTATTGGCAAAACCATTTAACTGGTATAGTATAAGCCCAGTCTCTGAATGGGCTGTTTTGCTGCTTGACCTACATTTACAGTAGAGTGTAGTGATGTGGGTGGTATTTGTTTTCACACTTCTAAATGATATGGTTATGCCAGTAAAATCTTTTAAGTGGATACCATGCCTCAGGTCTTGCCAACAATCCAGGCCTGCTGAGGAATGTAAAGCTTTCCCCGTCCTTATTCCTGCATCTTTTACGAGGTTAGCAGCCCAGCTTGTCAACATCTGTTCTGCCCTAGACTGCACACCTGATTTCTTCTCATCTCACCTTCCCACCATCCTGTCCTCTGAATTTTGATTTTTTCTTTCTGGTCTATAAAAGAAAAGGAGGGGAAGTGGGAGAACTTATTGTACTAATTCCTTTTCCCTTTCCCCTTCCTTTCTGACATACGGTGAATATGGCACTAAATTATTTCTAATAATGTATCACTGTTACGGAGAAGTAATCCCATTCCTATTTACTTTGCTTATCATATGTAAATTCAGAGGCAATGAAATCACATGTTCGTAATATGTCATAAAGTTTTAGAGGCCTGGTCTAATGAGAAACTAAACTTCTTATGGGCTCTAGTGCACTTTGTGTCAAAGCCAAATGTCATTTTTTCATCATTCTGAATAATTTAGTATAAATACTAATCATGTCACACAAAATGTTACTGTTCTCCAAATAATCAGGATTGTTACACTGTGCATGTTTCTTAGAAAAGAAAAAAAAAAAAAAGGGAGAATTCAAGATTCTGCCGCACCTTGCAACCCTGTTGGGGTAACACAGGGGTAATTGAAAATTTAATTGAGCTACATGATATATAACTAAAAGAAATTACACTTTTTACACACTGTATAAGCACATATACATATATAGAAATATATACACATAGGATTTTTGCTGTTTTTTCATGTGTTTTTCATATCTTGCACCTCCTACAGGAGAAATATCTGGGGAAAGTTGGTGTTCTCCCAGCTTTAGGTGTTCTGAGTATATGTCCATTATTGTACATTGCTTCCCTTCTGAAACAAAAGAAGGATCAGCTTCCCAGTAATCTTCAGTACTCCTGGGTTTAGTCAACAGGTTTCCAGTTCTTTAAGGTTCACACAGCTGTTTCTAGATTTTGTGAGGGGTAAATCTGTTAAATTTGTTAAGATCCAGAAAGCAAACTTTTTTCCCTACTACTTCTTAATCATTGCTTTCAGGATACAGTATTAGGTTTTCCACTTTCTTGGATTTGTCCTGGGTAGGATTCTAAGGAAATCCTATAAGATACCAGAGTAACATTTTGGGGTACAAAAAATAAGCAGGTTACGGGTTGGAAGTTTTTAGTACCTGATGGAAGTAATGTTAATTTCTCACTGCTCAGGTGATCTACTGAAATGTTATGGCTAAGTTCTTGTATATGCTCACAGTGTGATTTCATACAGTTTCTATTAATTAGATATTTCTATAAATTATTTCTGTGAATAGTTGTCCAAAGATTTTCTTATTTCTCCATTACGGATAGTTAAGAATAAGTCTGTTGCGGTTTTAGACATGTAGCTATTTATCTTAGTTTTTAAGTACTTCTTATTCCATTTACCTTCATGGTCATCTGAACAGAATTTCACTCCACAGTTTAAATTTAAGACCTAACTCATAAGTATCATGGCCTTAATTTAATCTTTTACAGAAGTGAACATATTAGTCTTACTGTAACTCACTAAACCTTATCTGTCTTTGAATTTTCCACAAGATCATAGCCGCCTTATTTCTAAGGCATTATCATAATTCTTTAAATCACTCTTTGAGAAATTTCCCCTCTCTGTATGTGAATTCATACTCTTATCATTCAGATTCCATCTTTTTCCCTTGCCTTTTGGATTAGTATTTTATATAGCAGTTAAAAAAAAACAAAAAAACTACCTCTCCCAACCTCTTCTATGCATTTTGCTTTCCTCCAACCCTTATTTACCACACTGCTACCTTATCAAGGAACTTCTGTGATCATTCTACCCACCTGGTCTTGCAAGTGAAAGAGAAAGTATCATTAGAAAGAATAATTCAGAGAAGAAATAGAAGCTGGAAGGGGGAGGTAGGAAGCTGGCTTGTTTGGCACATTAAAAATAGTTGTTTTCCAAATAAATATTTTAAACTGTAATGTATTCTGGAGAAGAGCAAAACAAAACAAAAATATGAAAGTGAATTGTTACTCTTCCATTGCTGTGTTCTGTGATCTGCAGAAATCCAAAGTACACTGTGCTTATTACACATTTATGTCCATGGTGATGAGACACAGAGTGCCAACTCCAAAAGTGCATATTATTATCAGCACCTTTACTACTGTGAGATCTCTGGATGACAGCAGTATATCAAGCTAATACTTTGGTAGATTATTAACTACTTCAATAGACAGAATTTCATCACAGCTATACTTGACTTTATGTCTGTGTTTAAATTTTTCTTCTGCTCATACTGTTTCTGTCTCTTAATGAGAGGGCAGCTGTTCAAAATACAGTAGATAGGATTTCAGAGTGGGCTATGGACATAGCTGGGTTTTTGTCCCTTATTATTTTGTGCAAACCTTTGAAATTCAAGCCGATTTGTGGATTTTATGTAGATAAATTATAAATGTGAGGTTTTTTTCTTTAATTAATACTTCTCCTTCTATGATTCTCTGGCTTTGTCAAAACTTTCTGTGACTGCTGTTGCTCCTTTTCTCCAAGAGGTCGTACTGATCCTAGGTCCTATCAGATCACTACATAGGCCTGCCTCAGTAGGGGATTTGGCCTTTATTAAGCAGATCAGTTCTGCTGCTTCTACTTTGTTCTTTTATTTTACAAGCAATTTTGAGAATTCGAGCCCCAATTAATTTATAACATTTTCTCCACTTAACATACGAATAAGATTATGCTTACTCCCACTTCACTACTTGTCATAATTTTGGCCTATTTGCTATGTTCAATTGCTTTCTACTATGTGAAACAACATTAATGGCAGTACTGTTAAACAACTCATCCAAATTAAAAACCGCAGTGGTAGCAATCTGTGTAAAGACCACTAAACTTAAACAGAAATCTCTTCTCTAAGGAGTGAAAATAGAGACAAAAGCAGGAAATCAGAGCTGCCCATGCCTGCTTTTTGAAGTTCGTGGGAGTTTTGCCACCAGTGTCAGTGAGGCAGATTCAGGCTCCTGCATGCTGTGTTCTCGTGTGCTGTGTTGCTTAATGAATAGTTTAATGCACTTGGATAAAACTTAAGCTAATTAGATTGTGAAATACTTTTATACAGGAGTTAGCAAGATCAGAGCAGCATAATTTTGCTTTTATAGTCCTAAGTATCTTCAGAGAGTAAAATATTAGGCTTTGAATTCTTTGGGGATTGCTTCAGATTATTTGTTATGAAATAATAATGCAATTCTTGTTGTAAATTCACACATCTGTGATGCTTATTCCTAGTTTAAAAATTTTCCTCATTTCTACTCGTGAGGTTTAGGAACAACTTGGACCTGCCCACCTCTACTCCTCCTTACTTCAGTGTTACCAAAGGCAGTAAGGGACAGCCTTGACCAGTGCTTAGCAATATTTTAAAACGCCACATAACATGTACATTAAGTGTAATGTTTCTGCTTGAAAAACTGACCAACAAGGAGCTAAGCAGAAATCTGCAGGCTTTTCCACAGTGCCCTACTGTCATCTTGTGTCCATGACCTGTAAAGAAAGCCTTCATCGATTTGGGAATTCCTCTTGAGTGATTGAAGGATGATCTTTTTAAGTCTCCTACTGAAGCTGCCTGCTCTTGATCTGGCTTCCAGTGACTTCCTTTGTCTTTCCACTGACTTTAACTGGATTTAGTGTAGGCCTGACATTGTTAGTTGCCATTTTTAGGAAAGTAATGTACGGGGGAATGGGAGTTTTCTTTGTTTTTTTTGGAACATAGTTCAAGCATGACCAAAAACTCACATCAGCAAAAGCCAGCTGTTGAAATGTGAGGGATTCCAGTCCTTTTTTGGTTTGCCTTTCTGCCACA